CGGGAGGACCACCAACGGAGCCGTCGTGCTCAAGGCCACCGCCTGGGGGATCGAGCCCCGCGTCGCCCTCGACAAGAAGACGCACGCCTCCATCCAGCATGACGTTGGCGGCAGTGGTGCTGCGGCTGCCGGTGTTGGGGCCAGGACTGGGCTTGACGTCGGAGCCACGGGTGCTCGTCGAATTGGTGCCGGCGGTGGAGGGGCAGGAGGAGGGGGGCAACAGTTCCTTAAGTTTGAAGCCTGGTCGACGAGAGCATCGGCCGCGTCTTCGCCCTGGGAAGCTCACCCGTCCATGCGGCGACAGGCGAGTTTCGAGGATTGTGATGCAGGGAGGAACGGGCCGGCACTGGCCGGCATGAGCGCAGAGCGATCTCCAGGCGTTCATAAGCACTTTGAACACATCGGTACCTGTAAAATGTGTTTGGTTTTATGTCTGAGTGCTCGAGCAGGAAGGGGTGCCTATGGTTGAGGCAGTTATCTCGTGCGGAGTGTCAGCACGACTCGTGTCGTGCGTTGCAGTTCGAGTATAGGCAGGCATTAGGCAGGGGATGATCGGTACCGTTTGCAGTAACGGTTTCGTTTGGAGCTGAGAGTGCCTTCTTTCTTCGGAATACAAGAGAGAATATCAGCCCCTTGCATACGCTTCATTGGCAAAAAAAAATGCCAGCTCCACCCATTGACTGCATTGCTGGAAATACGCAGGTACGCATACCATTGGAGAGCACGTTGCTGGTATTTATCCAAACGTTGGTATTTATCGAAAGCACAGCAGACAGGAATGTGCATGTCGGGGAAGTTGTTGCGAAGACCCACTCAAGCATCCCGCGATATCCGTATCGCACATCACACGAAATCAATACCTCCTTCAACCGTCCGCCGATTTTTTGCAGATAAGCCTGAGCAACCCGCTCACGATACCGGTGTCCTTCAGAGTGGAAACCAGCGGCCCGTTCGTCATCAACCCCTTCCCCCCCAAGAAGCGCCTCAACAGCGGCAAAATCTCCTTCGAAACGCAAGTCAGGGGCGGTGGAGGCGGCGGCGACGATGCCAGATGCCAGGGAAGACGACGGCAACAGTCACAACTCGCCGACAACAATAGCCAAGCAACGAGATCCGGTAATGGTGCTAGCTGCCCAAACAGAGGTCAAAGAACGGCCTCGGTGATGGACACGCAAGATCACACCCAACACCAAAAGCAGCACCACCCAGAGCGTCAGCATCGGCGAACTAAGGATCTGATTTCGCTGCTGCCAGGGCAGAACCGCCAGCTGGAGGTGGTGTTTTTACCTTCGAGGGCGTCGGCGGAGATGTCGGAATGTCTCAAGTCGTCTTTTTCTCCGGGCACAGAGGTAATAGTCCGGCACTTGCCGCATTGGTCAGGGCCCCAGTGTCGGTCGTGCTGATGACGTGAATAGTTGGCTCTGCGTCCCCTTCTTGCTGCAGTCGTCGTTACCACTGTTGTTTTTCCGTAAAATCGCTTCAATATTTTCTAGGTACAGTTTCGAAGAAACGCCAGCTTGCGTTTAACGGTTGCAATAGGCACGGGGGCGACATCGATCCCCGTTATCAGAAACATCTTATCAGAGAACTAGAACCGCATTCCCTGAAGTACTATAAGAGCCGGCGTATCTGGAATTCCAAGTTCATGTTGGTCGCAAACGCTGAGCTTCCTCCTGTGCAGAATTCTGCCGAAAGGCTGTGGCTCGGTACGTGCCGGGTGCACTTGAAGCCAAGGTTGCCGGGAAGCTCTCCGTCACCCAAACCGTCTGATCCCCATTTCGACGTGCCTATTCCTGGGGTTACTATTCAAAGGACATCCCACGGCTGGTGCTAAGAACGACGGGCGAGCTTACCATCGCATTCTGCACTGGACACGTGCAGAGGGTCTTTCTGAGGGGCGAAGTGAGTACGACCTCCGACACGTTTCGATTCAACGCGGAAAAGAACTGCTGCAGTGCTGAATACCGCGAAGTTCCGCGTTCTGTGCCATTCCAGAGAAAACATCATGAAGGTAGTCAAAAACAATGGACAAACGGAACCACACGTCGCCGAACACTGCGCAGGATATCGTGAAAATGTATATCCTGTTGGGCACGATAAGGCTGCGACGTTGACCTAACAACGACATAATTTGGTCCTCGTCCTCTATTCCTTTCTTCTTGTTCCTTGCCAAGGTGTTGCGACCGATGATCACCGTGGCACCGGCGACGCACTCTTTCGGGACCATCCACACCGAAAGAAGGGGAAACGCCACTCTATTTCTAGGAAATCCCACCTTCGCAGACGCAGAGTGGTCGTTGGTCCACATCCCCGTCCCCCGCCCGAAAAAGCGCCTTATCCATAACAACAACGCCGCCAAGGCCACCGCCGCCGGAACCACACCAACAAACAACCCTGCGAGGGCAGCATCAGGGGCTTGCGCCAAAGGGAGGCACACCGGGAAACCGGGGGGCACGGACGGGAGTGGCAGCCACGGCCGCAGTCCCGCAGCGGGGCTATTCAATCCGTTGGTGGTTGACGACCCCTCCGTGTTTGTGTTCGGCGAGGAGGGAGGGGTCCTGACAGGAGTCAAGCTGCCGCTGAAGTCCTCGGCGGCGTGCCTGCCCGAGGACTGGAACCGCTTCGAGGTACGCGGAAAGTCCCAGGCCACGAGGGCTCGAATGTTTCTATTTCACTGCTACACCCTGAATACAATGCTGTGACTCTCTCACCCACCCGAGCATACGCCTTATTAACTGAGCCAAAGCGAGATAGGCGAGCTGGCGAGGTTGACAGCGGTTGATGTAAGGACGTACCATTTGCAAAACGGCATTCATCATTTCCACCCCTCGTCTGAGAAACTCTCAATACCTGAGGACCTGTCGACAGGTGAAAGCCATACACCATGGCACACCCTACATGTCTCTCGCTCCGTCGTAGTTTGGCGTTCTCCTTTTCCTCCGCTTCTGATACGCTTGACTCTCTCCATAGTTTCGTCAGGTGGCACACTCATGTCCTCTCCTCCCTCGCTCACCCGCCCGCAGAACGCATGCTGGCCTCAACAGCGTTCACAAGTCACCTGGGGAGGCGTGACCGACTGCTGCTCCGTTCACTACCCGGCTCAAGAACTGGGCCTTCGTTCCTGTCAGAAATACCCCTACGGCACGCCACCACACGGGAGCATCCACTCCCAAAGACGAGAACGCCCCGAGACTTTGTCGCCGGCGGGGACAGGTGAGCAGTGGAGCTATGAGGGGTGTTTCAAGGGCAGGATGAAAAGCACCAAAGATGGACATCCCGACACCAACAGCACCTCACGATTATTAGCTGAGAAGAGGACCATTGCCCCGAACAAGATTTGTTACTCCATTTCTTCATGCTCAGAGCTCGTATTCCATGCATCAAGCAAGCCTTGAAGCACAAGAGATCGCCCATAGCACTAAGGAAATGGGTGGAGGGGCGAGGAGAAAAACAAAATTTCATACTGTGGACGTTCCCTTGGCAGATGTGTTGAAGGTTCCCCTCGCAGATCCGTACGCAAGGATATGAGGTGTACAGGCATCGAGCTTGCGCGTGAATAGCATATTTCTTGCGTTTTCTAGCACGTATTTCGCGTAACATGTCAACGTCCTGTGCAAAGCATCTTGTACGACTCCAACGGAACATTCGGTCCAGTGCCTCGGAGTATTCCAAAAGTTCCGGATACAGGCTTAGTTCTTCGCAATTCAGCGATGAATATCTTTTTCCTTGTTCCAGGGGCACGTCCAGTCATGCCTGCCGCTGTCGTCTGGCGAGATGAACTGCATGGGCAGCGCCAGGTGGTCGGGCCCACACTTAAGCTCGAAACCTTCCTCACACGGAAGGAGGAAACTACGGAGGGGTACAGAGTACCGAGACCACTAGAGGTGGGGGGGTGTACGATACATCACGACTTTTTGAAACTTGCGGAAGAATCACGATCGCCATCAACGTTGACTGCTCTAATGCACCACCATTGCAGTCATGTACGTCTTAGTTCAAAGACAAAAGGGATCATGTGGTTTGTAGGCTGAAAAACACTCTTCCACTATATGCTGACCCCTCCGCCCCCTCTCTGCCTCTGTCTCTCTGGTGCCGCATTAAACCCTACTCTTTTCGCATTACGTTTCAGGTTGTATTTGTGCCGAAGCACAATGTCTTGTACCGCAGCCGCTTCCGGCTTACTGTAAAAGGGGGTGAAAGTGCAGAGGTCGTCCTCGAAGGATGCGGGACCTACAGGGAAGAGTCTAAGCCCGGGAAGTTACCGCGAGTGTGAGAGCTCGACAATGGGAAGCCCTTCCTAGCAGCAGGAGAATGGGGAAGTAGATTTGCAGTACTGTGTGTGTGAAAACGTGCCGCCGAAGCTACGTCTAAACCGCGGGCACTCTGTTCTCCCGGCCCTTATCCACCCAATCTCGCCCATCAGCAAGCTCATGCAACGTGGGCAAGGCGAAGGCCCCGCGGTGGGGAAACAGAAAACTCTTTTGCCGGATGAGAATCCAATCGAAGTAACGTAGGCCAAACGGTGCCCTGAGAACGATGCTGTGTATACGGAACTAAGCTCTGGCACTACAGATTGCTTTCGTGTTGGACTAGACTAATGGTTTACGGTTAAATCTCTCAATTACTTGTGTCTGTTATATTAGCGGAAGCAACCGGTCTCCTGTCGTCGCTTCGCAGTTCCCAATCCACGAAATCAGTGTGAAACACATTCACAAGAAACCCACACCTAGGAACTAATATGCACTCAAAGACAGGGGCATAAAAATATTGGCAAGGAACGAGTGGCATCCCATGGTATGGATGTGCTGCGATGTTGTTGTTGTTGTTGTTGTTGTTGTTGTTGTTGTTGTTGTTGTTGTTGTTGTTGTTGTTGGTGTTGTTGGTGTTGTTTCTCACATTAGCTCTATAGTCCACAAAAAATGGGGAGCCCGTGGTCTCAAAACCCGGCACATACGACGCCGCGGGAAACAAAACAAAAATAGGGTCCAAACCACTCGGAAAAAGAAAACAAAATGATAGAAAGAAAAGAACAGGTATCGCACCGACCGTCCGAGAAGAGAGCCCTCGGAAACCGATCAAAATAAAACAAAAACAAAGATAAAGGAGGACGCTTCCCACACCCGCCTAAAAAACAAATCAAAGGGTAACGTACCAGCACCAGGCACTACGCACCAGGGCATGGGAGTAACGGAGCAAACAGGACAAAGAGGCGGCAGATGGGCAGACAGCCAGACGTACAAAAACAAAGGCAACAGCAAAGCGAGATCACGGTACCCAACACAGCAGAGTAGGCAGGGAGGTAATGAAAAAAAGAAACACAGAAACACAGCACAGAGGCCGAAGGCAATACAAAGGACATACATAAATGAGTATACCATACAGCAGGGAGTGAAACACGGCGCAACAGCATCAGCCGGGTACATAGTTCGCTACAAGTGCTGCCTCGGCCGCCCTACTCGCTTCTACAGCAGTGCCCGGTCGCCGTTTCTTCCCCCCCNNNNAAGGAGTATAGCATACAGCAGGGAGGGAAACAGGGCGCAACAGCATCAGCCGGGTACATAGTTCGCCACAAGTGCTGCCTCGGCCGCCCTACTCGCTTCTACAGCAGTGCCCGGTCGCCGTTTCTTCCCCCCCACCGCCGCTTCCCCGGCTATCTTTCGCTTCGGTCCTGAGGCCCTACTCTCTGCTTCTGCTTCCCTCGCGCGCTGGCGCTTCAC